TTATTTACGTTCTAGTTTGAGGCAGCCTGTTGTAGTGGTACACGTTGTCAGGAAGACCTGGATTCAAATCCTACACTAGCTGTGTGAACGTAAGAAAGTCACCTGATTTCTCTGAGACTCGATTTTCTCATCTGTAAAACAAGGGGGCTGGAGGTTCCTTTCAGCTTTAAATCTCTAATCCCGGGATTTATTCCAGTTTGTTGAGGGCCCCTCAGAAATGTGTGTGCTACCTGGGAGCTCAATTGGTCATGTTGTCTGCCTTTAGACACGACTCCATCTAAGTCATCATTGGAGAAGGAGAAAGAGGAGAATCCTTCCCCCTCCCCAGCTGACATAGGACAACCTTTTATTTGAATTTAATCTAAATCCCTGCCTCTTAATTGAGAATGAAAGAAACTCTAGGGGTTGGGGATGGATTGAGGGGTGAAAGGTTCTGTTTCTCCTTTGGTAATGACTAAAAGAATCCACCTGGACCTGGGGGGCAGAGATGATGAGATATGGACAAGTTAGGTGCTTTGAGATCATAAAGTCACAGCATTTAGAGCTGGAAGAGAAATTCACTCAACCTCACTTCCTTTAGTGAGGCCTGAAGAGGCTTTAAGAAGCTTATGCAAAGGTACACAGAAGCTAGGTCTTCTGACTCAGAACCCAGGACTGTGCTTGAGTGCAGACCTCTTGGTTTGAGCTTGGGTAGAACAACATATGAGGTGCTTTGTCAAGTGTGTGAAGGATGCCAGATGCCTTGGTTTTCATAAGGGGGTGTGCCTCTGCCCAGTGGACTGAGAGAGAGAGAGAGAGAGAAGAGGGCCAGAATTGGAAGGGGAAGCTGAAGGTCAGTGGTAATGGGGGGGGGGACTCATGTGGGTTCTGATAGAAGTGAGTAGTGGGTGTCTTGAGTTTAGCGTGGTGGGCTAGAGCCACACAGTTTCCAGCCCTGGTAGGCAGGGCGTGTGAGTTTTGGGAGATGGTATTCAAGGAGTCTTTCCCTTTCTCTGAGCTATAGCCTCTCTGGAGCCGGTGACCTGCTGACCCCACAACACAGTGAGGAGCCCACAATGTATGTGCTAAGACTAGGTATTAGGGCAGAGAAGTAGCAGCTTTGTTTGGAACCCAGATCAACACTGCCTGGGGACCTGTCTCAGCCTGCCCAGGCTCGGGGGCCAAGGGCTCAGGAGCCCTGGTGGGGCCTGAATTCCTCTCTCTCAGAGACCCAGGGAATGCCAGGGCTCAGGAACTCCTTAGTCAAGGGAGCTCTTCTGGGAATCCAGGATACAAATAGAGCCCAGACCTGGCCTGGCATGAACTGGGTGCAGGAGATGGGAAGAGGAGGAGTTTGAAGGTGAAACATGCCCCCTGCCTTTTAGGAGCCCCCAATCTGAGGGGGGACAGTCCAGCCCCTGCCTTCATGTAGTCCCCCAGTCTCAGAGAGGGAAACGGGTCTTAAACAGGTCTTCCATCAGGCTTAAGGCTGAATCAAGCTCCCTGCCCTCCGAGGGCAGGGGAGGGGCCTATCAGACAGGACTCACCTGGCAAGTGATTCTGAGAACCGTTATGTAGCAATTCAGATAAATTCAGAACCAGCAAAGGCCTAAGTTGATAAGTGTTAGGAGATAAAACTAGATAGGTTTATTTAAGAAAGGCTTGTTGGGAAGGAGGTGGATTCGTGGTCAGATTTTGAAGGGACCTAAAGATATGGATTCTTGGGGCCCCTTCCAAGTAGGGGAGTAAGCTATAAGAAAGTAAAGAAGTAAGGCCTCCTCTTCAGCTGACCAGTCATTTGTCACTTCCCTGCTAGAAGATGTGTCCCCCAGTGTTCTCCTGGTGGGGCCCCAAGAGCCCTCACCAGCTTCTGAGCTGAGCCTTCTGTGGAAGAATCAGACTGCCCTGGGTCTGAGGACTGGGAAGCCAAGCCTCCCTCCTCTCTCCCCTCACTGGCCCAGGGGTTCTGCAGTGGTCCAGAAGGGGTGCCAGAGGAGGGAGGAAGCCTTGCAGCCCCTGCTGCTCCACCACCCCAGGAGGCTGGACAGGCAGGAAAGTCAGTGGGGAGGGGGACAGCACCTACCTGTTGTTTAAGGCTCAGCTTGGGCATGGGAGAAGCAAAATGCCTCAGAGTCAAACCTGAGTCTTGCCCCACTGACTGGAAAGTGCAATGCTCTTTTCCCTATACCAGACTGCCTACCCTTACATGAAGCAGGCATTGACACTGGGAAGATTTGGTTCCCAAATCTCACCTCTGATATTTGGAAGGTGTGTGACTTTGATTTCTCTGGGCCTCAGTTTCCCCATTTGTGGCACTTAGAGCACTGTAAAAGTGGAAGCTATTATTATTTGGACTTGGGGCTGGGCCCATGCATTCTAGAACCCTGGTATTCAAGAGTGTTACACTTGGAGATGCTCAAAGAGAGGCGATGAGAGTGTTCAGTGAGGAATAAGGGTCACTAGAACCCAGGATCCTTGCCTTCTTGATGCCAAGGGAAGCTCGGAGAGCCACAGAGGCTGCATCCTAGCCTGGGGACATTGGCAGAGCCCACAGCACCTGGCATTGCCTGCCCCCCTGGGTGACAGCCCATGGCCCTGGCCTCCCTTTGGACAGGGCTCCCTTCCTCTAGGGGCTGAGCCAGTCCAGGATGTCCTGCTAGAGTGGCCCTCCTGGCTTGACATTGCCTGGAGGAGTGGGGAGGGGGTGGGCACTTTGCCCAGGCACCTTCTGGGCATGGTCTGGGTGGAGCCCCCTGAGGGGCCCCAGGCTGGCAATGGAAAGGGTACAGAGAGTTGTCCAGGCAGTGGGGGCCAAGGGGAGGCAGCTGTCCTTCCTCTGCTCCAGGCTGCCAAGCAAAGGCTGGCACTAATGGTCAGGGAAGACGGGCATGTTGCCCCCTGGGACCCTTAGGAGAGAAAAGAATGTTAGGAAGCAGGGACTATGGGGATCTGGGGGAGAGACTCAAAGCTTCTGTTTGGGGGTCTGGGGAGTAGAAGGGGGAGCAGAAACAGCCTTGGACACTGGGTCCTTGCCAAGGTGGGTAGAGGTGTCTTATTGCAATGCCCAATGTGATGAGGACAAGTGTGTCCCTCTGCTTACCTTCTCAGAAAGAATACGACTATATGAGGATCATAGGGCTTATAAATGAAAGGGCCTTAGATGTCACCAAGTCCAATGTCCTCATCTGGCAGACAAGGAAACTGAGGACCAGAGAAGTTAAGTGATTCACTCAAATTCATACAGCTACTAAGTAAGAAAAAGTTGATGGGGAAATGGATGGGGAACTGACCCCATGGTGACCTCCAGGACTAAAGAATGAACCTTGTTAGAACTCAGATTTGACCAGGCCCCCCCTAGGGCCCGTAGAGCCCCCAATTTGAGATGGTCATTCATGCCCCATGAGATCAGGAAAGGAACCAGACATCCACACTCTCTGCCACCCTCTCCCCCTAAGGTAGAGACACCCCTTCCCAGAGGGAGCAGCGGAGCCCAGAGAGGGGGATGGGGCTGGAGGCTAGGCCTGACCAAGCTGCCAGCCCAGGGACAGTTTCCCAGAGCTCAGCTCCTGGTGCACAGAGGGCCCATTGTTCTTGCTGCCAGTACAGCCCGGCTCCGGGTGCCCTCCCCAACTGCCTGCCGGGCCTTTCTTGGCGGGACTCATTCTCTCCTGGTCACCCTCACCTCCCCCCCCCGACCTAATGCCATGTCCAGTCTACAACGGGTACCGAGGCTGCCCTGTGCCAACCCCGAGGCAGAAGCATCAGCCTAGGCGGATTCTTCCTAGCCCACTCAGTCAATCAATTGATCAAGCAAGCATTTATTAAGCTCCTACTATGTACCAGGAGTTTTCCTGGAACCCTTTGCCCATCTCGGAAGAGCCCCCACTGAGAACATGGTTAATCCAGGAATTCCCCCCCAGGTATCCTTAACTTGCCCCCCAGAGATCCCTAGAACTTTACTCCAAGTATCCAGGTGTTTGAGCATCTGGGATCTAATGGGGTACAGCAATTCCCCTCCCCAAGCCATAGCATCACAGAATCTCAGAATTGGAAGAGGCCTCCGAGGGCATCTTGTCTAAGGTGTATCTGCAACGTCTCAGACCTCCGGAACAGCCTATCCCATTATGAGACACCTCTGACTGAAGGAAGTCTTTCCTGCTCTCTGCTACAGATCTCCACTCTGGCACCTTCCATCCATTGTTCGGAGTTCTAGCCAATGGTTCCAAGAGAAACAAGTCTCACCCTAGCCCTGGGGGGGGCATAAGGGACAGCCATGCTGCCTGGCACATAGTAGGCAGTTTATAAATGCTTGGTAAATGATTGACTGGGGAGCGAAGGGAGTATAGTCACAGTCAGGGATCTGGCAGGGGGCAAGGGGACCCTCAGGCCAGGGCCTCTGGGAACAGAGGCCTCTTCTGGAGCCTGGACACTTTCTCAGATGGTATCAGGTTAAATGCTACTATGGGGGGTAAAGGGGGTTAATTCAGGGAGCTAGTATTGGGGAGAATAGGAAAGAAGGCTGTAGACTGGAGTTAGACCTCACCCTGTGGTCACCTTAGGACAGCCAGATGGGTGTTTCTGCTCCCCTTCCAGCCTTGGAGGGGGCAAGGTGGTTAGCTTGAACTATGGTTACAAAAAGAGACCTAAGGAGGCCAGTGGTGACTTAGCATCAAGAACACTGTATTCAGTGTCAGAGGTCCTGACTGGAACACTGGCTTTGTCACTTTCACTGCCCATTTGACTTTGGGCAAGTCATTTCTTGTCCTGGGACCTCAGTTCTCTCCACAAAATAAAGGAGTCGGGAAAAAATAAAAATAAAAATAAAAATAAAGGAGTCGGGCCAGAAGGCCTCTAAAGTCCCTTTGCAGCTTGCAATTAGGGATCGTTTTATTCTTTGTACTTATATCCTCAGTATCTAGCATAGTGCCAGGCATTATGTTGGTGCTTAATAAATGTTTTTTGAGTTGAATTGAATTGATGGTCCTTGGTTTCTCCTAATGACCCCCCCCTTTTCCCCTTAGAGATTTTACCTGTCTTGAAAGCACGTGATCGGGACCAAAAGTTCTCACTCCCCTGCTGCCCACATCTGTGCCCAGTCCAGCCATGAACCCCCTGGAGGTGCCCGCACAAACAGAGATGGTGGAACTGGTGCCCAATGGCAAACACATGGAAGGACTGTGCCCCGTGGCTTTGCCTCCTGTAGGAGTTGAAAGGTGAGTCCATCATGAAGGGGGTGGTGGGAAGATGGGACAGGGAACGAGGAAGATATGCCAGGCAGGCATGCCCTACCCTAGCTGCACTTGGGGTTTTCTTCTTGACTCAGAGGGGGATGAATGGGGACACTGTTCCTCCTTATGTCCACAGGTGTGAGGGTGGAAGACCCAGCCATGGGGGAGCAGAGGGATTCCTGCCCCGAAATGCCAGCAAAGAGACACACTTCACAGATGTGAGCCCAGGACGGGGTAGATGGAAGATGAGAGGATTTGGGGGCTAGGGATGGAGGCTCTGGGAGGACTTGACCCAAGAATGGAGGGATGGGAAATACCCCAGGGATGGGAATCCAGGGAAGTCAGAGACTGAAGGTGGGTGGGGCCCCATGACAGATTCATGGAGAATAGTTTCTGGCAGGGGCCAGGATTGTATTGAGATAAGTGGATGTGGGCCCTAGGGAGGAATAAGGATCCCAGATAGGGTGGAGATGGGGGCTGAGACTGAACACAGGAATGGGGGTTGAGAATGGGGTCATGGATGAGAGAGCTGGGAGGGATGGCAGGCTTCAGGGCAAGCAAAGGTTTGAGAGAGTGATCTCAGGATATTGGGTGGGGCAAGAAATGGAGAATGGGACATTGCCTCAGGAGTTGTGTCTGGGTGTTGGGGTGGGAAAAGAACTCCTAATACCTCCTCCCCTCTCCCCACCTGTTTCTGCAGTTTGAAGGGAAGACTTCATTCGGAATGTCTGTGTTTAACCTGAGCAATGCCATCATGGGCAGCGGTATCCTGGGGCTGGCATATGCCATGGCCAACACTGGCATCCTGCTTTTCCTGTGAGTGTCTCAATGTCTTCCACGCTGTCTCCCAAACAGCCCCTTCCCTCAGCCCTCTACCCAGAGCCCGCAGGCATCTCTGCTGTTGGAACCTAGCCTGGCCTGGTCTGACCCTAGCTTCTGGGACCCCTGACTAGAGCAGGGCCTGGGCAATCTGCCTGAACCAAGGGTAAGAGAGGGAGGGAGGGGACCATGGCCAAGGGATGGGAGTTCAGGGTGGCACTGGGGTTTCTGACTGAGCCTGGACTCATCCAATGTTAACATAAGCAACAGCTACAGCCCTAGCCTCAGCCCCACCCCTGATGCTGGCTCCAGCCACTGCCCCCAACCAGACACATAGACATACACACACACACACAGAGCTGGGCCCTGATCCTAGGACAGAAGGCAGCAGGGCAGGGGAAGACAGTACACTGTCTCTGTGTCCATGCTGGGGTGTTTATTCCCAGAAAAGGTTTGATATTTTTTTTTCTTTACCCTCAAATAAAAACAGACTAAAATAGGACCAGAGAAGTGAAAAACATGGGGTGATGGGAAAGCAGGCCACCTCCTGAGGCCCCCAGAGTGACCTGAGCTGCCTCCCTGGGCCAGGAGTATATGTGGGCAGGCCTGTAGCCCTGCATCTCTCTGTGTCTCTTTCTCTATAAAGATCTCTTTGCATCACTATCTATATGGGTGTGGGGATGTGTGTGTCTGTGTGCACAGTACATGTGCATTTGAACCCCACTGATCTGGGTTCAAATCTTGGCTCTGCTATGGAAACTTGAGCAAATCATATCTCACTGTAAGATTAGATCAGGGGTTCTCACCTTAAGCTGTGAACTTGGTTTAAAAAAAAAAGATTTTATAACTATTTCAATAGAATTGATTTTCTAGTAATTCTCAGCATTTTATTTCATGCATTTAGAAACACTGTTCTGAGACAGGGGTCCATAAGCTTCAACAGACTCTAAAAAGAGGTCCATGGAACAGAGCTTAAGGACCTTCGGACTAGACCATCTCTTGTGTCTTTCAGCTTTAATCAGCTTTAATCCATTGTGTGTACATGTATTTGCAGATATCGATGTATGTGTATGTGTGCACATGTGTGTCCCATGCATCTGACAGAGAGAATGTGTTTTCATGCAAACTTCCTGGACTTCCTAGAAGGGATGGGCTTCGCCGTTCCTTGGGATTATTGGCTGGGTGTCTGTGCAGATACCCTTTGAGGGAATCTCTCAAGGAGGGAGTCTGACATTCTTTGCTCCTAGGCCCTCCCCAGGTGTTTATGGGTGAGGGTTCATTCAACGTCTTTCTACAGGCCAGAAGAGACAGTAGAAGGGATAGTAATGATTCCAGCGTATAGTTAAAAATGGGTCCCTTGCTTTCTTCCTAGATTCCTATGTTAACTTGCTGGCACACCACCAGATGACCCTGGCTCTGTTCTGTATAGACCACCTGCTTCAGTGTCCTTCCCCCTCCCCATTTAAAAAATTGTATCTATTTCATTTTTAATTTACAGAATAAAACAAGCATTTCTATAACATAGTATAATAAAAAAGATGATTGTGAAGCAGACCCTTTGGGAGCACATTTCTCCGTCTCCCTCATCCCCCAAAACAAAGGAAAGAGGGAGCTTTTTTTTTTGCTAGAGCTTTCCTGGGCACCAAGGGTGGGTGTGAATGCTACACCTCCCCAGGCTCTCAGGTACGTGGGGGAAAGAGGAACAGATGGGATTTAGGGCCGGGACAGTCTGTCTGTCAAGGATTGGGAAGACACGAGGGAGCCTGACATCCCAGATCCATACTCTCCAAAGCCCATCTCAAGTAGGACCCTGCTGCTGTCTTCACAGAATTCCAGCATGCCAGAGTTGGAAGGGCTCTCAGAAGACAGGATTTCCAATGAAAGGGCTTAGAATTGCAGAATGGAACAACTTAGAGAGGCCATAGTGACTGTCCAAAGCCACCCATGCCTGACCAGGGATCCTTCGATGACATCATTCAGCTTTTGTTTTCAGGCCTCCAATATCAAGGAAGCCCACCCACCCCCTCCCAAGGCAACCCATTTCACTTTGGGAAAGCTCTATTAGCAAATTTTTCTTTCCCATCAAATCTGAATCTGCCCCTCTACAGCCTTTGCTCCAAGTTCTGCCCTCTGACCTCAAGAACAAATCTAATCCTTCTTCCATGGCTATGATGACCCCTTTGGCTAAGCATCCCTAGTTCCTGATACTTATATGTCATGCTAGGCTTAGAGTCAAGAAGACCTAAGTTCAAATCTGACCTCAGACACTTAGGGGCTGCATATTCCTGGGCAAGTCATTTAACTTCTATGTGCCTCAGTTTCCTTAACTGTAAAAAGGGGATAATAATAGCTCCTACTCCCCAGGGTCATTGTGGGGATCCCATGTGATAATTTTTGTAGAGTGTTTAGTACAAAGCCTGACTCATAATTTGTGTTAATAAATCCTTGTTTCCTTCCTTCTAAACTTTTCAACACCCCACTCACACTGTTTGGAGACATGCTCTAGCTCATCTCTTTCACATCCTTCCTTCCTCTCTCTCTCTCTCTCTCTCTCTCTCTCTCTCTCTCTCTCTCTCTCTCTCTCTCTCTCTCTCTTTCCTTCTTTTGCACTCTTTTGCACTCGGGGTTAAGTGACTTGCCCAGGGTCACACAGCTAGTAACTATCTAGGCCAAATTTGAATTCAGGTCCTCTTCACTCCAGGGCCAGTACGCCATCCACTGTACCACCTAGCCACCAGCTTTTCTCTTTCATAAAATGTGGTGCTCAGATTTGAATATGGTATTCCAGGGGTGGCCCGGATGGGGCCCAAGACAGTGAAATGATCTCATACTGAACACTGCCTCTCCATTAGATCTAGCCTAATGCTAGAGCTGGAGGGACCCTCAGAACAGAGTGTCTGAGCTGGAAGAGTCCAGAAGATACCAGACACAGACCCTAGAGGTCATGCAATCCAATCTCTTTAGTTTACTGATGAGGAAACGGAGGTTCAAAGAGGGGAAGGGACTTGGAGAGGCAACCTTGTATACAGGAAAGAGCATCGAATCTAGAGCCTTCATTCACTAGCTGAGTGATGCTGAGCAAACTACTTCCCCTTTTTCGAGCCTCAGTTTTCTCACCTATAAAAGGGGAATACCAATGCCCACAGTCCTTACCTCACAGGGTGGTTGTGAGTAACCTATTTCTGTAGCTTGAAAAGTACTATGGAGATGTAAATGAGTGGGTTTTTTTGTCCATACGTGACTTCATCAATGTGGGAATTCCTAGCATGGAAATTCCCTTCATTGACACAGGTCAGCAATCAGTTCATCCTTTATGATCTGGGAGAGCTTCCTCGGGCACCCAGAGGTAATAAGGGACTGGCCCAGGGTCTCAAGGCAGGTATGTGTCAGAGGCAAGACTTAAACCCAATGCTGGCCTTCTATCCACCATGCCCGGCCTCCTTTCTGGGTTATTTTCCTCATCCCCTTCATCCAAGATCACACAGGAAATTAGAGGCAAAGCTAAGACTTAGATTCCGTTCTCCTGGCTTCCAGTCCAGGTTTGTTCTTCCATTAGAAACAGCTAAGTGGTACAATGGTTAGAGCACTGAACCTTGAGTCAGGAGGACCTGAGTTCAAATCCAGCCTCAGATACAGGCACACACTTAACTTTTGCCTTTCTCAGTTTCCTCATCTGTAAAATGGGGATGATGATAATAATAGCTCCTACCTTCCAGGGTTGGCATGAGGACATAGTAACATGGGCTTCACAAACCTGAAAGCGCTATGTAAATGCCAGCTACGATGAGTATTCTGCTTTCTCCCATCCTGACGGCTTCATTTCTCCCCCGCTAATATCCCCTCTCTCCCCCAGCTTTCTCCTCACCTGTGTGGCCCTGCTCTCCAGCTATTCCATCCACTTGCTGCTCAAGTCTTCAGGGATTGTAGGTAAGAGAACTCTTCAGAAAGCCAGTCTCTACCACCCCTAAAAAGCCTTGCTAGATTAGCCCCAAGGTAGAAAGGCCCCAAGCCCAGACTTCAGGTACCAGCTACTGGTATAAGGTTGGAGGGCTCAGACCTTATTATTCCTCATGCCCTGCCTAAAGCCTTCTCTCACATCCTCCAGGTATCCGGGCCTATGAGCAGCTGGGCTATCGAGCCTTTGGGACACCAGGGAAGTTGATGGCAGCAATAGCTATCACCCTACAGAACATTGGAGGTGAGGAAACAGGTGCTACCCCTTTGTCTGGCTTCACTCATACCCTTTAGGAAAATTACTTAATCTTCCCGAAGGTAGGCCTAGAGGACAGAAAGCAAACAGTCACTAAGTCCTAGTGGGAATTTGGGCAAGCCCCTTTGAGCCTCAGTTTTGCCATCTGTAAAATGATAGCATTGAGTTAGGTAATCTCTGAAGTCCTGGATTGGTTAATATCTAGTCCCTTTGATTCCCTTGCTGGTTTATATGGTCTCCTGTGATCCCAGCAGGGTGGGGCGGGTGCTCACCTAGGGTTTCATCCCATTTAAGTTAAGGGTTCTGTGACAACCTGATGGTGCTGAAGCCTGGGCTCATCTCTGCCGCACCCCACCTCCCCACACCCCCACCCCTCTCCACCCTCCCACCTCGTCATACCTCTCTCCCTCACTAATATCCCTATGAGCCATTGGGAAAGGAATGGGGAACATGGCTGATGCTTCTCCTGCCACATCCCCCCAAATGCCCCCTCTACCTCCTTCCCTAGCCATGTCCAGTTACCTGTACATCGTGAAATCTGAAGTGCCCCTGGTCATCCAGACCTTCCTCAATCTACCAGAGAAAACCTCGTAAGAGTCATTCCTATTCCTAGCCTGAGAACCAGGGAACCGGGGGAGGGACAGAAGGGATGGTCATCTGGGTGGAGAGGGAAAGTGGAATGAGCCTGTCCTGAGAACTGAGGGGTTCTGGGAATGGGGAGGAGAGAAAGGGGGCTGGGAATAGTCCCTTCCTGTAGGAGGGGTGGGTTTATACTGGGGAGGAGAGGTGGGCTAGTCCTGAGTTGGCCCGTATTTGAGAATTCAGAGTGTGGGGTCTGGCCCTGGCTGACATTCTACCTAGACCCAGAAGGAGAGAGGGGTGTAGTGTTGAGGGAGGCCTTAGATTCTAAAGGAAGAAGGAAGAGGTGGGGATGTAACAGTCCAGGCCGGACTATTTCCAGGCCAGGACCTCCCCTTGGTTTGTTCTACTCATGTGCTCCCAAGCTCCCACCCCTGGGCCTGGGGCCACGAGCCAGGAATTCCCCACCCCTCCCCCTCACTGGGCCTGGGCTTCTCTCAGAGCCAGGTGCCATGAATGGGGCCTGTCACTTTAAGGAAGCACAATTTGGTGTCGGTACTAGTTATTAATACTCCCGATGGCCTCTCTGTGCCCTTTTCCTCCTCTGACCCTCTCTCCCTTGCATTTCTCCTCCTTCTCTGACCCTCTGTATTCCCTGGGTCCAGCTTTCCAGAAGGAATCACCAAATTATCAATGCCTCTCTAGACCCTCAGCTCCTCTTCTCCTTCCTATCCCACTTTCAGTGGGGGAAGTCAAGTTAAAGCTGAGGACTTCAAGGCAATATTGAGGCAGAATGACTTGATTTGGCATTTTTAGACCTGCATTGGAGACTCAGCTCTCTGCTCACTGATGTTGTGATCTTGTGAAGGCCCTTTCCTCTCTAAGGCTTCAGTTTCCCCATATGTACAATGAGGGAGGCTGGAGTGCATAATATCCAAGACTCCTTCTAGCTGTAACATTCTGTGATCCAAGAATCCCAGGGTTTCCAGAAGGTCCTGCCTTTGGCTGGGGTATACATGTCTCTACTCTCTGTTCCTTTTGCTGCAGCGGTTGAGCAGGGGAGGGGGAGGGGGTGCGGTGACGCTTGTGGAAGCTAGGCCCAGCAGCAACTCCCTCATGGGGGGAGGCGGAGGATGACTGGCCCAAGAAAGGGTGAGGTCAGGGAGAGGGTTTAGCTCTTAAGCTCCTGCTATTTTTAACTTAAGGCCTCTGGGGCTAAACCCCCCATAGCCCAGATTACGCCCAATGATGTAGGCTCTGCCTCTCTGCAGGCCACTGAGTCTAAGGCCCTGCTCCTGCCAACACCAGGAGCCTTCCCCCTGACCCTGGAAGGAGACCTCAGAGGCTGTTCCCTTCCAGTCCTGGCCACAAGAGGGCCAAGGACCAGCACATGCCCTTGGGAAGGGATAGGGACGGAGGAACAAAAAACGAAATTGGAGTGAGGTCAGGATTCTAGGAGACTCTTGAGGAGCGATACCCCTAATTGCTCCCAAATCCTCATTCCCAGGCCACCTGAGCCCTCCCCACCACCTCCCCCCGCTTCCTAGCTCCCTCAACATCTCAGGGTCCCCAGCCTTGACCTCGCCCCTACTCATGTCCTGCAAGGGGGCTCATTCTGGGCTGTGGGGTCCACTGGGGAGGCCACATCCAGGGAGAAAGTCGGGGGGGACCCAGGCTCCCGGGGTGGAAGGCGAGGGATCCCAGAGGACAGGACCATGTCTCCCCCTTCACACCAGGGGTCCCTGACCCTGGGGGCCACACGTTCTGACACCTGTTCTATGCCCTCTCCTCCCCCTTCCCTCCAGGGATTGGTACATGAATGGGAACTACCTGGTGATCCTGGTCACAGTCACCATCATCCTGCCCTTGGCTTTGATGAGGCAGCTGGGTAAGAGGGGGGGCGAGGGCTGGGCCAGAGGGGGAGACACTGGCTGCAGGGGTAGGATGGGGAAGTGGGTGGTCCTGGTGCCCTCGGGGAATGGGATGGGGCTGGGGTGAGGACAGGGGGACAGGCCTTCGGTTCTCACCCTCCCCACCTCTACCCTTAGGATACCTGGGCTATTCCAGTGGCTTCTCCCTCAGCTGCATGGTGTTCTTCCTGATTGCAGTGAGTGAGGCCCCCTGCCCCCCAGCCCTGCACCCACCTCTGAGGTGGAAACATGGCCCCTATCTCCAGGGACCCCAGCTGTGAGGGGGGAAACATGGTCCTAACCTGTGAGAGACTCCAATATCAGGGGAGAAATAACTCTGCCGGAAGCTAGGTCATGCTGGGTGAATTCTGAGTACCTGGGACCAGACAATAGGGTCCTTGCCAGCTGGGCACAGTGTGGGCTTCCATATATCGCTGACCATGAGCTTAGGGAGCCTGACAATGCCTGTGTTGGGTACTCAGTAGCATCCTTACTCTCCCAGGTCATCTACAAGAAGTTCCAGGTCCCATGCCCACTGTCCACATTCTCTGCCAATGTGACGGGTAACACCAGCCATGTGCAAATCATCATGAAGGATTCCTCGGGTGGGGACCCCCTCATCCAGGCCTCCAACGATGAGATCTGTGTCCCCAGCTTCTTTACCCTCAATACGCAGGTGTGCTGGGGCCAACTGGGCCAAGTGGGTGGGTGCCAGCCCTCAAGGGTGGGGAGGGAGGGCCTTGAAACACTGAGGTCCCTGAAACACTGAGGTCCCTCACCTCCAGGGTCGGGGCTTTGTATTGTGCCCTGGCTGGGGGTCCCTCAGGTAGGTGGGGAAGGTCCATGCCGCTAAGGGCCAACAGCACCTCCTGTTATCCACAGACAGCATACACCATCCCAATCATGGCCTTCGCTTTCGTCTGCCACCCAGAGGTGCTGCCCATCTACACAGAGCTCAGGGAGTGAGTATGATCAGGGTGAAATGGGAAGAACGCTGGATTTGAGGTCAGAAGACCTAGAGTCAAATCCTGGCTTTGTTACTTCCTAAGTGACTCTGGGCAAGTCACTTAACCTTGGTAGGTTCCAATTTCCTTATCTCTAAAATGAGGGGGTTGAACTAAAATGACTTCTGAATTACTAGCTCTGAATCTGTAACCCTGTGACACTTCTGAGAGGCAATGCCTCTCATCTAAGAGTTAAGAAATCCATGCTCTTACTCATTGGCTGGAAGACCTTGGGCAAATCCCTTTCCTTCCTAAGTCTCCTCATTTGTAAAATCTATACCATGTTGCCATTTGAGAGACAGTAGGATATAATGGGAAAAGCCCTGATCTGAAAAGCAGGATAGCTGGATTCGAGTCCAGCTGTGAGCAGAGCAAGCCCATTTTTCATCTCTGGGCCTCAATTTCCCCATATTTAAATTGAGGAGATTGGAGCAGTGGAACTAAGGATCCTTCCAACTCTGACCCTTCATGTCCCATATCCAGGGGTCCTTCCCGCTTGGACCCTTCATGTCTCATATCCAAGGGTCCTTCCAACTCTGACCCTTCATGTCCCATATCCAGGGGTCCTTCCCGCTTGGACCCTTCATGTCCCATATCCAGGGGTCCTTCCCACTTGGACTCTTCATGTCCCATATCCAAGGGTCCTTCCCACTTGGACTCTTCATGTCCCATATCCAAGGGTCCTTCCCACTTGGACCCTTCGTGTCTCGTATCCAAGGGTCCCTTCAGCTTGGACTCTTCATGTCCCATATCCAAGGGTTCTTCCAGTTCTGATCGTCTATGAAACGATATAATAGATCAAGAACTGGACTTAGAGTAAAAAGACCTGAGTTCAAAAACTTCTTCCAAAATTTACTAGCTGTGTGACCATGGTCAATCACTTAACCTCTCTGAATCAGTTTCCTTATCCATACAATTATTTTTCCCGTGAAAAGGGATGATATCACTTATGATACCTTCCTCACAAGATTAGAGACAATGTATATAAAACATAAACCTGAAAGCAGGACATATCTATGGCAGTAATTATTATTGTTCTAAGGACCTGCCCGATTCTGATATTCTAGAACTCCATGGCATTTGTCTCTTGCTTAATCTTGTTCCTTCCTCACAACCCCACCCCCAACTCCATCCTCCAAGAATAGACTTCATTCCTGAGCATTGACTATGTGGGGAGAGGGGAGAGCAATCTCTGGTGCGGGATGGGTCCCCTCCAGCTTAATCCAACCCTTGCTCCCCTACAGCCCCACGAAGCAGAAGATGCAACACATATCCAACTTGTCCATTGCCGTCATGTATGTGATGTATTTCATGGCTGCCCTCTTTGGCTACCTCACCTTCTATGGTACGAGAAAAGTAGGCAACAAGGCTGGCATAAAAGCCAGATTAGGATGTGGGTCCCCATGTGCTAGAGGAAAAAAGAAGCCAGGTGTCAGGGGCGATATTCCCAAAACCTAAGTGAGTCTTCGAGGCCAGGGGTCAGTCAGTCAAGTGCCTGGCAAGGTGCTGAGTGCTGGTGATCCCTGACCCAATTGGGTCTGGGAGGGCAGGGGTCAGAGACTGCATCTACTAGACCTGGGTGGGTCTGGGAGGGCAGGGGTCAGAGGTCTGGGAGGCCTTTAGATGGACTCAGGTGGAAGTGGGAGGTGGGGAGCTGTGAATCAGGGGCTATGTCCCAGTCCCAGACTGGGTTGTGTCAGGAGCTGTGTTCCACAGATCGGGTGGAGTCAGAGCTCTTGCACACTTACAACAAAGTGGATCCTTTTGATGTGCTGATCCTGTGTGTCCGAGTGGCCGTGCTCACAGCTGTCACCCTCACTGTCCCCATTGTCCTTTTTCCGGTGAGTTGGACCCAGTTTCTCAGGGAGAGCTCAGGGTTCATAGATCATAAGGTCATAGTTCATAGAATCATAGATTCAGAGCTGGAAAGGGCTTTAGAGGTCACCTGGTCCAACCAGTTTATTTTACAGCTGAGGAAACTGAGGCTCAGAGAGGTTGTAACTTGTCCAAGGACACACAGCTAGTAAGTGGCAGAGCCAGGATTTGGGCTCGGGTCCTCTGACTCCAAATCAAATCAAGCACCCTTTGATTTCATCCCTTTATTGGGGTTGAGGGAAGAGACAGGGATAGTGAAAAAGCGCCCAAAGTTCTCAGGTGAGGAACCGGGTATGACAGCTACAAAAACCAGCCCTGGGAAACAGAGCTTACTCTGTGGGTTCTGCCCCAGAGCCAATGTAATCGAGTAAAAAGAACACAGAACTTGGAGTCAAAAATCCTGAGTCCAAATCCTGGTCTCCTACCATGCGACTTCAAACAAGTGTCTGAGCCTCAGTTTCCCCTTCTGTAAAATGGAAATAAAAACACTCGAATCACCTAGTTTCACAGGATTGCTATGAGGAAAGTGCTTTGTAAACATGTAAAAGTCAGAGAAAAGATGTGTTTCCCTTTTCACTTCATCCCACTGAGCCCTGCTAATAAGTAAAACGGGAACAATGCTCACCCGACCTTTCTCAGGGAATTGTGACATCTCTGAAGGAAGCACTTTGTCAACCTTGCTTCACTCCAGAATTGTGAACTGCAGGGCAGTGGAGTTACAGGCCCCTCCCCCTACTCCGCCTGCCCTCGGGAGGCCCAGCCTCTGTACTGAGGGATTAGGGTTGCTGTCTCCCATCTCCCACCCCCAGGTGCGGAGGGCCATCCAGCAGATGCTGTTCCAGGACAAAGAGTTCAGCTGGCTTCGGCACTCACTCATTGCTGTCATCCTGCTGATCTGTATCAACCTATTAGTCATCTTTGCCCCCAACATCCTGGGCATCTTCGGAATCATTGGTGAGAATCCCAGCCAGGGCCAGAGCAGAGGAAGCAGAGCCTCACCAACCTTTGGTGCGCTCTTGGGACCCACCCCTGTCAACACGTTTCTTCTCAGTCTAGGGGCTGCTTACTTAATGGGCCGCCCATTAGCACATATCACATTGTCTCTTTCCATAAGTAACTCATTATTTTTGTCTTGACTTTTTTTGATCCTAAGACTAACTGTTGGCTTTTTTTTAATCCTCTTTGAGGTTCTTAGACCCAAATAGGGCTGATTAATTAAAAAAAAAAAGTTAAAACATTCAGCTGATAACCAAAGCATCAGCACAATCAAAATTAGAATGGTTTGTTGATAGAAGGATTCAATTTTAGAGTCAGAGAACTTTGGTTAGAAAACAGTCTCTGCTGGGGGCAGCTAAGTGGCTCAGTGGCTAGAGCACTGGCCCTGGATTCAGGAGGATCAGAGTTCAAATCCGACCTCAGATACATAACACTTACTAGCTGTGTGACCCTGGGCAAGTCACTTAACCCCACTGCCTAACCAAAAAAAAAAAAAAAGAAAAGAAAACAGTCTCTGCAAGTCACTCCCTCTCTTGGTAGCTAGGTTTCCCCATCTTTAAAAATGAGGAGTTTCTACTAAATGATTGTCTCTAGCCCTGGGAACATCAGCCAGAAGACAGCTCCTGCTCCCTTTGCTGGCCGGCTGAGATTCTAATCCCTCCATTATCTCTCCTCCTAGGCGCCACTTCCGCCCCCTGCCTGATCTTCATCTTTCCAGCAATCTTCTACATCCGAATTGTGCCCAAGGACAAAGAGCCACTGAAGTCCACTCCCAAAATATTGGTACATAACTGTCATGCCCAGCTCCCCTGGCAGGAGCCTCCGGGGATAGTGTGGTCCTGAATCAAGCAAGGGAGGAAAGGGATTGCACCTATGGAAGTACCTTGGGCCTGGGCCCTCAGGCGGAGACCCCAGCCTGTGTAGACAAGCTCGGAGGGGACAGGGCCTCCTCTGCGTTTTCTCCCCCAGTGACCCCTTCCTTTTTCTACCTACAGGCCGCGTGCTTTGCAGGGTTAGGTGTTCTCTTTATGATCATGAGCCTGAGTTTTATCATCATGGACTGGATCTCTGGGAACAACAAGAGTGGTGGCAACCACTAGAACCCAGCATGGCCTGGGGTCACCCGTCACCCACCCACCTGTGCCATTGCCTGCCAGAACTGCTAAGCTGCCCGGGCCCTCGGCTGGTGGGGGGGAGGAAGGGAGGACATTTTTCACTCAATGTGTGTTTTTGTCTTTAATTATTATTATCCCTGTTGAGGATCTTTTTTTAAAAGAAAAGGGGCGGGGGGGGGAGGGACCAGGCCTTGCAGGGGGTAGAACTGGAAAGGCTAGTACATTGGGTTCCCTCCCTAAGGGGCATGGAGGCCTCAGAGGCTGGGCCTTGGGTATCCTTCATCTTCCCCCTTGGGGTCTAGGGAGGGCTGACGCCTCTCAGGATGGCCCCTGATTGTCTCTGTCACTGACTGCTCCCCTGGAGAGGGGGGACTCAGCAGGGGACAACCCCTGTGCTCTGAAAGGATCCAGTGATGCTTCAGTAAAAATGGGCCAAATCCTCCTCATGGTCCTGAGTCCCTGGGTCCCCAGGCCTCCTCTCTTGCCTGCTGGACAAAGGCATCTTCCGCTCTGTCACCAGGTCCCCCCCTCCCACGTAGGGTCTAGAACCCGATTTGCAGGGGATGGGAGGGAGGGGATTAGTGTCCAGAGACTTTTTTCCTGGCCCTATTTGCTTCTCATCGCTGGGGCTGAGGAGAATCCTATTTGTAAGATCCTAAGGTTCAGCCCTTGGTAGACAGAGCTAGGAAAAGGTTAGTTACCTCCAGCCAACATCTCATGCAGACAATTGGGAGAAAAATGTGTTCTCGTCATCTCAGAGATCACCTGAGCTGTCCTAGTGTCCCCCAGTGTCACCATTGGTAAGGGAGTTCCATGGGATGGGAAAGATTTACTGCTCGCAGACAGGAAAGGGAGAATCAAGGAAGGGGGGGGCTCCCTTTATACAGGCAAGGGCAGGCCCTGCCTCTAGGGGCTGCCCCCTACACTGACCCTGACCTTCCCCTCCCCCAAGAAGGCTCGTCTGTGCTCTTCCTGGGGGCAGAGGGCTTCGCCCACCACAGCTACCCCCGCAGACTTGAAGGGGGGGGGCCTGGAGATCCCAGCAAGAGCTTCCTCTGGCTCCCTCTTCCCCACTCTCACCTATACTATTTCTCCCTCCTCGGTCAATGCTGCTCTCCGCTGGTAGCAGGAGGTCTCTGTGGCAGGAATCTCCCCCATTTTAGGAAAGTTGTGGTCTCAGCTATACCTCCACCTAGGCTAGGTAAACTATGACCACGGCTGGCTTCCGAGTCTCAGGCTCCCATCCTCACTTGGCTCTTCTGGGTCTGCGTGATTGGAATAGACCAGGCTCCTGGCAGACACCCCTCCACCAGTCACTGCTGTGCCATCTTGCCAACATCCCAATTTTGACTGGTTGGCATCTTACGATTGGGAGTAGGGGAAAAGTGGAAACACTGAGCTGAGGGTCTGTAATGTGCTTGGCTGTAATTAATTGTGGAGGAGGGGGGTAGCTGAGGTACCTGGGGGTAACATGTGAGACAAAGACTTTCTGAGAAATGCTATCCAAGGACATCCTTCGGTCTGCATTCTGGGATGTGTCTGGGCTGCCTGGTATCCAAGTAATACACATCCCTGACTGTATTACTTGGTGGCTCATTCCAGTGGGGCCACACAGCCCGGGGAGGCAAGACAAGAGATGAGCAGAGAGAAAAGACAGTTATCAGTGTTGAATGGGTTCTAGTGCCCAGGTGCAGGAGGCCCCTGCAAGGGGGAAACATGGAGAGTTTGGAATTCTCGAAGCCACCCCCCTGACACACACACCTCCCATTCTGGGTCTATTCCATCCTGGGAGTGAGAATACCCTGCTTGGTCTTAAGCCGGGAGGTGGGAAGATGAGAGAGTGTTCGGTGCCAACCCCTTCCAAAGGCATCGGAAGCAGCATGGAGAGAGGAATAGCCTTCAGGGTGGGAGCTGGCAGCCTTCAGCCGGAAGCCCCCTGCCCTCCCACCTCCCCAGTTGCTGAGGGAGGGGAATGAGGAGTGGGCTGGGGAGACGTGAGGTGCATTTCCCTGGAGTTCCAGACCAGCCTTGTGAGCCAAGCTCTGGCTTCTGAGAAACTCAGGCCATGGAGAAGCCTCCGCAACAGGGAGGTGGGGAATGGGGGGAGTGGGAGGGAACTTCCTCCCCAGAGCTCCCCCAGGAAGGCCTGAAGCTCAGCAAGTGTGGCCCCCTGCTGAGCAGGCCATGAGAGGGACCAGTGCCCTCTCTCACAGGTTGCATTTCCAATCCTCTATCCAAGTGAGCTCCAAGCTTGGAAACACTGAAATCCAGCCCCCATTGACACACCACAGACCTTCTTAAGAACAATAAAAATTGGTGAAAACTGAGGTTAAGTGAGACTGCTCTGTGGACCCTGGACTGACACCCAAGGATGGGGGACAAAGCCAGGCATAGCAGGAAACTGGCAGAAGGTCGGAGAAGAGGGGAAGGTCAACTTCCAGCCTGCTTGGTGTCAAGGCCTTGTTCTTCAAAGAGGCAAGAAGCTCAGCTGCTGAAGGGTGGGAGGTGAGAGGGTTGTGCAGGGCCCTCAGAGCCGGGCCCTGTGTATCTCTCACTCTATGGATACAGACACAGGGGCCAGGAGCCTCAGAGATACTCATGTTCAGGTCTCAAGCACGCATCCAAGAAGCAGGCTTCTGTGGGTAGTTTAATTTCTGGGTCCCCCTGACTCCCGGCTCTCAGCCTCCAGCTCCCCTGCCTGGACTGGCCCTGGGCCACCCTCTCCCAGGAGCAGACACAGCCCCAGGAGTTGGCACCAGGCTCTAATTAGAGCCTGGGCCCTGGGCGCCACAAAGGGACCTTGGGGCACCTGTCAGTTAGTTAGGGGGCCAGAGGAAAAGGCAACAGGAAAACTCCAGTTTGAGCCTTGTTGGGTGGCTGCCAGCTGGGGAAATCCCAAAAGAAAGGCCTTCTCAGGGCCCTGATGATGGCTTCGCCCCAAGGAAGCTCTGGCAGGAAGGGCACAGGACCATCTTTGTGGGAAGGCCTACCCCGGGGGGCCCCGAGGCTGGCAGGTACTATCCTCAGCTGTGACCTTCAGGTAAATCCATCCCTTCACAGATGACCCCAAACCCTCTTAGGCCCCAGGGCCCTGTTAGAAAAGGATTTTAGTGCAAAGATGGAAAGGTACAGTGGAGAATCAAGAAAACCTGGGTTCAAAAGCCCCTCTGATGCTGGCAAGTCACAACCTCTCTGGACCTCGGTTTCTTCAGGTTTCGAATGAGATGATATTCACTTGGAGAATTTTTAAACTCCATGTAAATAGAAAAGGAGGAGGAATGAGCAGTATAGCATTCTCTTTCTCTCCTCTCTCTCTCTCTCTCTCTCTCTCTCTCTCTCTCTCTCTCTCTCTCTCTCTCTCTCTCCTCTCTCCTCTCTCCTATCTCCTCTCTCTCTCTCTCTCTCTCTCTCTCTCTCTCTCTCTCTCTCTCTCTCTCTCTCTCTCTCTCTCTCTCTCTCCTCTCTCTCTCTCTCTCTCTCTCTCTCTCTCTCTCTCTCTCTCTCTCTCTCTCTCTCTCTCTCTCTCTCCCCCTCCCCTTTCCACCTTGAGAAAGGTGTCATGGGAATAGAGCAAAGGCACAGTTTAACTCCAGGTCAGAGTAGCTCCATAGAATTCCCTGGCATTGCCATTACCAGTGTATCCTGACTCTTACCACCTCATGAATATTGGGCAGCAACATCTCTGGTCCTCAGATCTGACTTTGAGCAAGTCAGCATTTTGTGACCTTGGACAAGTCTCCTCCCTTTTGTGAGTCTCAGTTTCCTCAACTGTAAATTTAAAGGAGAGGCCTAGATAATCTGGAGTGATCATGAGGAAGGGCACCTCAGATGGTAAGGCATCTGAAGACGCTGTCATGCAAGCACCAGATGAAAGACCTGAGGCTCTCCAGCCTAGAGAAGAGACTTGTGAGGTAAGGGAAGGGTGGAAGACACTAATTAGGCTTAAACTTCTCAATGCTAGCAATGAAACTTTATTAATTGAACGCATGCAAACATCAGTTTGTATTATCTCTTAGACAATATAAACATCAACCCCATCAGGAACAAATCCCTAATCTGATTTCCCAAGGTTCCCAATAAGTAGGTCTCATACTGGGACTTAGTGACATGGTTCCTTCTCTGCTCAGTCAGAGGTTGTGTGTGTCCTTAGAGGAAGATGTCTGACAAGTCTTAGTCCATCAATCTGCCCAAAAGCAAACATTGAGGATGCTTGAGTCTCAAGGGTGGGGGTAGGGCAAGACCCAATCTCCATTGACATCCATGACCAGACTGAAGGCTCAGGGTCTGGGGAGTGAGAGGGGGCTGAAGTGGTTCTTATATTCTAGCTATGGGTGTCAACTGGTTACATTCTAGTTCTGACTGGCAGTTGGTGACCTAATTTGTTCACCAACTAATTTGATTGATGCCTGATGACATAAACTAATGATGGGGTTGTTTACCAAATTTTCCCATTGGTGGTCTGTCCTATCTGGAGGTCCCATATGTTTAGTAGCTGTTTGTGAACATTCATGTGTTATTTACCAATCTATGCCATATCTATGCTTATCTCTACTGAAAAACAAGTTATGAAAATCAAATAGCAAAACACTTCACAAAATGGTGGCCTGATACAAAATGGAGTCAGTTATTTGGAAACAATAAACTTATTATCCTCACTAAAAAGGAAGGGAAGGCCTAATCTCTACCTTCAAGCAGCTGGAAAGCTGTCACACCAAAAAGACAATTATGTCGTCGGTTCTATTTGGCCCCAGACAGAAGAACTATGGGTTGGAGTTACAGAGTGGTAGATTTAGGTTTTAGATTCGATATAAATAAGGGAAAACTTCTTAACGATAAGAATTGTCCGTAGAGCAACTGATAGCCAAGGTATAGAGGTAATTGACACAAATAATGTAAAATCATGAGCCATTCCCTGATAAATGATTGAAAAGATGTGAACAATCCAGACGTAATGGATAGAGCGCCATACTTGATATCAGGAAGACCTGGGCCCCAGTCCTCTAACAGTTACTCCAACTGTGACCCTGGGCAAGCAACTGAAACTCTGACTTAGTTTCCTCAGTTGTAAAATAAGGGGGTGGGGCTAAATAGCTTCCACCAACCCCTCTAGCTTTAAATCTGTGATCCTATGGACAATTTTCAAAGGAAACATTACAACTATTAATGGCCATATGAAGCAATGCTCCAAATCACTAAGGAGAGAAATACAAATTAAAAACAAGCTTGCGATTTCAGCTCACACCCATTAAGTTAACAAAAGACTGAAATAGTCAGTGTTGTTGGAAAAGAGGCACATTGATACATTTTTCATAGAGCTGTGAATTGGTCTAACCATTCTGGAAAACAACTCAGAGCTATTTTGGGAAAGGTACTAAATCGTTCTTACCTTTTGAATAATGATTTTACTGTCAGGCATTATACCTCAGGGAGTTCAGAGATAAAAAGACTATATATATAGATATACATATATGCATACATACATATACACACACACAATTACACACATATGTATGTATATTTTTATATGTACATATGTATGTACACACATATTTATATATACATATATAACCCCATATTTTATATATGTATATCTGTCTCAAACTATTCATGGAAGAATTTTTGTGGTACCAAAAAAAACAAAACCCAGAAACAAAATGGATGCCTATTGATTAGAGAATGACTGGACAAATTGTGTTATATTAATGTTACAGAATATGGGCAGCTATATGGAACAGTGAATAGAGCACTGGATCTGGCATCAGGAAGACTCATCTCCCTGAGTTCAAATCTGGCCTCAGACACTTACTGGCTGTGTGACCTTGGGCAAGTCACTTAATCCTGTTTGCTTTAGTTTCCTCATCTGTAAAATGAGGTGGAAAAGGATATGGCAGACCACTCCAGTATTCCTGCCAGGAAAACCCCAAAAGGGGTCACAATGAGTCGGACACAACTGAAACAATTCAACAACAACAACATTATGGAATACTCTTGATTCATAAGAAATGGTGAATAGAAGCGATTCAAAAAAGCATAGGAAGACCTACCTGCCTACATGAACTGATGCAGGGTGAAGTGAAGAGAACCAAGAGATGAGCATGCACAAAGTTTATAACTATGTAAATGAAAACAATGCAGAAAAGCAGCCAAACTCAGAATAATTGTAATAAACAGTCTTAGTCCCTGAGAACAAATGATGAAACGTTGTTGATTTTGGTACAGAAGGGAGAGAATACAGATGCAGAATGTTGAACTCATTGGTAGACATAGTTGTCATTGGGTTTATTGGTGTCACTTAATTACCTGTCTTTGTTATTAGGAAGGCTTCAACGTGGCTTCAATTCATTTTTTTTTTCTTTATGGTGAGGCAACCAGGATTAAGTGACTTGCCCAGGGTCACACAGCTAGTAAGTGTCAAGTGTCTGAGGTCACATTTGAACTCAGGTCTTCCTGACTCCATGGCTGTTAGGAAATAACTGTGGTTTTGTTTTTATTTTTTAAGGTAAGGAAAGGACTACCTCAGAGGTAGTGGATTCTTTATCACCGGAGGTCTTCAGGCAGGGGCCAGACAATCCCTTGTCAATGTTACAGAGTATTCCTGTTCCTAAAGTGATAGGGTATATTAAATGGTTTCTGAGGTCTCTTCCAGTATTCAGTGCTCTATATTCAAAGGGTCCTTTCAGCTCAGACATTGTACGATTCAAGTGTTTGATAGCCATGCCAGAAGCCAGGCCTTTTGGGAAGCAGGTGCCATAGATATTATATATTATTATATAAATATATATGTATATGTCATATATAAATATATAACTACATATTATATAAATATGTTTATATGTCACACAAGTACAAAACTATATTATTATATAAATATATATTCATATGTCACACGTAAATATATAACTATACATATTATATATTATCACATAAATTTCCCTCAGTTTAGAGAGAGGGAAACAGGTCACCCATAACAAATGCCCAACAATGAACCCTTGGATAAGACAGGGGCTAAATGAGGCCTTTCTCTAGCTCACAAAGCAGAGCTTTGCTTACAGTATCTTATTCTTCAGCCAGTACATCTAAATTCTGGAAGCTTACATTCTTTAAAGGAAATCCAACCTGTATACAGACACGTATATATGGGATAATCTGAGGAAGAGGGAGAATACTTGCCAAATAAAGAAGACCTCACTCATCTTGATCTCACCGGCACAATTTGACCTTCCTTGAACACTTCCTTCCCTGAAATCCACCACTCTCTCCTTGTTCTCCTCTTACTTCTCTAACTACTCCTTGGTGTCTTTTGCTATATCACAGTGTCTCATCCCCCA